GAGCTGATATCGTAACAGCTTTAACGACTTTATTTGACCTCTAGGCCCGCCAATAAGGATAAAACTCAGAGAGCAACTTAAACAAGATTGACTTAATAGGTTTACAATTAAGAAAGTTCCAACTCGTCTGAAAACTTCTTGACCTAATACCTCCGAGAACACATTATCCGTGAAACGATATTAAAAAGCCTCGTCCTATCCAACCGCTAACCCGAACCTTCCTGCTCTGCATCGATCAACCGCATCCGGGGAAGAAAGCCCGATATTAAACAACCCGTGATTTTTCAGCCGACACGTCGAATCGACCAAGAATACCACGAATACTCGGGGAAATTGCGAAATTTCATATATCACGTTCTCGCACGTAGCTCGCCGTTCGAAAGGCTGTTCGCACGGTTCGTTGGACACGAATTTTCGACGAGCAACATTCCGATCGTTATACGCGGTCAACGTTGCACCGACATTGAACCAGTGCAATGCTGCAATGCAGGTGGACCAGCCGGTGCAGCTGGAAGATGCGTAGGCAGTTGGAGGCTGGAGCCACTGTCTACCGCAAATCTCTCGCGGCTCCCGCAGATGTTATCTCCACCGCAAGATATCCGGCGATTCTGTCTCCCTTTAAGAGTGCGAGCCAGCTCGCAAGAAATCATCTCGCTCACATGGAATAGGAGGAGACGAAGAAGAAGAGGCGGACAGGGCCGAGTGTCACCGGGACGACCGGGGCTACAGGGAGACCTAGGGACCAGAAAGAGACGGGGAACGTTTTGCAACCCTTTTGTTCCGTGAATGCCGGATGCCGGGCGTCGGAATATTTTTCGGACGGTGAATAATTCATCGTGACAAATGGAACGGGTGCACGGCCCGTCCACTGCCATCGTTTTGCTCGCGTTTCTAATCCGCTTTTTGTAACGTATCAATTCGAGCATTATACCAGGGGGGTCTGGCTTGGATTTCAACGCGAGCTGGTGGTAGGTTGTTAGGCGGGTTATTTGGCAATGGTTCTTTAACAGGTGAAGGCTTATTTTGCTCCGGTCCTGGGACCTTCTTCGTTCGTAATTTAAGTCCCGATTAATTCTCGTTTTGGAAATTCGAGATTCTTTTTGTCCCGGTGTATCTCCGGGCGGATCAATTTTTAATACACCTTTTTCTGGTATTAAATCATTCGGCGATTTTGTATCGTGATTTTTGGCAATAATTCATAGACGTCGTAGGTGTAATAATTATCGAAGCATCGCGTGGGGATTATTTTAATCCGAAATCGATAAATCTTACTTAATATTCGTTTTCATAAAGATACTATTTGTTTCGAGTTTATAAAACATCGAAAACCTTCATCTTAAATTTTCTTTAATTTCGGTTGAAAATTCGTAAATTGGATTTATGGAGGTTCGTGTGATGGTAGAAAATTCCATAATAGGGGAAATTGAAATTGAAGTCGGGAGTTCAATGGTGGAACCGATTACTGAAAGGACGATCATGATTTAAGGCAGTTTCGAGCAGTTTGTCTCTAATCTCCGATTTCAATTTCCCTGAGAGACAGGTCGGTGTGCAACACTGCGGGCTAATTTAAATCGAGTTCGCGGGAAAAGTTTGATCGATGAAGTAAAAGTTTGACTGCGATCAGGCAATGGAAGTGTCTAGAAGCAACGATTTAACTGTCTGCATTGAACAAACTGTTCTTCCGCCAATGATTCATAGCTCTTGTCAAAACTTTAACAACGAGAATATTATCGTAAAGGCTTTCGAAAAAACGAAGGGACCAAATCATACTCGTCGAGGTCTTCGATTTTTGATCATGATGATTTCATGCTTCTGTGTGTCTTTATAAGAACCTCAATGTCACATCACAATATTTTTCCAATGTATAAATCACCGTTTTTATACCTGTCTCCATATATTATGGTATTACGGCGAGAGTGCATAATTAATTAATAAATTCTGGGCATTGAACGGAGATAAACATGTTTTTACGAGTGCCCACTCGAAAGGAATGCATCTCGAATATCTCGAGTCCTTCATTGATGAGGAACTCATTTATAACAACGCCAAATAAATTTTTACTATATGGACAATTTTGGGAAATGTAAATTATATTTGATAAGATAAGATAAGATAAAGATAGTCAAAATTACAGGCAAACTATATATAAACCGTGTACATATTGTATGTAATGCATTGTATAATTCATATATACGTGCTAGAGATCATGAGAGTGACCTAAACGATATTGCATGCTTCCTGTTGGAATGTTAAACGTTTCGCAATTTATATGTATTGCAAATTAACAAAGTTAACCTGACGTTTCACCTTTTTACTGTTTTGTCAAAAATAGACGTGTTCTATTATATTCTGAACGAGGATGCAACACGAAATAGGCGCAAAATCACTTCCTTCTGACTTATAATTGAACTACCTTCGTGACTACCGACACGCATACACAGGGTGAACCAGAAATAGCGATACCACTAGGATCCGAGTGTTTCTATGTAGATATAAGAAGATAATGAAGAATGACGAAATTTTAACGAGGAGAAAATATAATTTCGAGGAAAAATACATTCGAAAATCAGTGGTGCACCTAATAGTATCACCAATTTTATTATATACAATATATTGTATATACACACACACGGTGTTTTTAAAAGAAAATTTAAAACATATAAGTCCGAAAAATATTACTCGCGAGATTATACAGAGTCCAGGGTGCGCCACATTCACGAGGAACGCGTGAAAATACCTAAAACCATAAACCAAGTGGAAGAAAATAAAGCAAGTGAACCGACGAGCACCAAACGAGACGTAGAACCTGTACCTCTTGAACCCTGCACGGGTGCGCGATCTCAGAAGCAGGTAGAAAAGGCCAACAGGTAAGAGATCGGCAGACAGACAATGGCTCAGCGTGCTCGACATTAAATCACTGGTAATTACGAGCAGCGCCACGGGCATTGTCTCCTACGCGCGGCGCATTATCAGGCATCTATTCATTACCGCGACGTAATTGCGCGTGTAAACGCGGTGCCATGAGTGCGCGCGACGGCCTTACTTTCAGTTCCCTTATTATCCGGATGCAAAATCGACCAGGTTGACACGTCGGTGGCACGGTGTCGGCCAGGCCCGCGCGTTTCCTCGCCACCATAATTCCACGGGAACGCGTGACTCACGACCTAGATTTCTTCCCGGGAGAAGCCATGACACCTTTTGCACACGCGGGTCTAACGTTTATTGCTCGTAAATAGAGAAACTCCTAGCCGAGTTCTCGGGGATCTCGAGATCGATGGCGTTGCGCAGCGAGATGGACAGATAGGGATGAAGGCAGAGAGACGAAGAGAGAGAGAAGGCGAAGGCAATAACGTGAAACTGAACCGATGCGCAGATGAGTTTCAAGCTGGGCAAGGTTTAGGCGAGTTAGCCTCGACGCGGTGTCGATTGCACGCGATGCAGCAGTTCCGCGCGAATTCCTCGAACAAAGGAAGATAGGTATTCGATTTGAAAGCTCGGCATGGTCTTTTTTGTACCGGCTTTTTCCCTCTGTCCAATGTTTCGCGATAAAAGAACCGTGGACGGAGAGTTATCGAGGTAAGGAAATATCGGGGGAGAATACGGGGACGGATATTGAAATTTTCGAATCGAGAAACCGATAAATTAACGTTTCTCTCTTTCCTGTTTTCCCTTTTTATGGCTAACAAAAAGTTAACGGGCTTAAGAGGATCAAAGAGTGCACTTCAAATATTTATCTTTTATCTCAGCTCATCCTGGTATTGATGGGGAACAGAGAAACGGAGTGATAAATCAATATTAAAATCTCGCAATTAATAAACCAATGGACGAATATTATTTTTGAATTAGTAAGAGAAAATTATTTCAGACACGCGTTTCATTATAAATTTATCATAGTAATCGGTTCCCAGTTTGGAGGCTTGAGTTCCGAGGCCTAAAAACGAGTAATTGAAATATTTATCTTTCATCTCGGCAAGGATGTATTAATGGAAAACAGAGAAACGGAGTGATAAATCAATATTAAAATCCTGCAATTAAGAAAGCAATTAACGAACGTTCTTTTTAAATCAGCAGGGACAAATTATTTCAGATACGCATTAAAAGCGAATAATCGTTAAATTAACAGACGTAAAAAAGATGAAATATTTATCTTTCATCTGGATAAACGGAACGTAGCCGATTTCATACTTGAAGGAAGACTGTCGCGATTATCCGAGCAATCTCTGGTATTTTCGGTATCGACCGTTTCGCGAAATCCCGAAAGCATCCGCGAACTCCGTGTATAAAAGCACCTTTGGCGTAGCTGTCTTACCAAGCAAATTCCTACCGTCCGATATCGATGGCTATCCGCGATACACCCCGTATGTATTACAGCGACGGCGGTTGCATAAAAATCCGTGGCATGAATCAACAAAGGGGCAGGAGGGAAAAATGCTATCGCGACAAGCGTACCCTTCGAGTTTCGCAATCGGTCCTCGGTCCCTTGGTGCCGGCCCATCTATCCCCGTGGAACAAACAACGCGCCGTTGTCTCTCTATCCACCTAAGCGTTCCCGTCGAACGCGTGCAAGGATATGTAGGTGGTTAGCCGAGCGGCTGGCGGTGTATCAGGAGAGCAGACAGGTAGAAAGGGAGCGGACAAAGCGGAACGAAGAAAGAGGCCTGGCGAGCGAACAAGAGAGGAACGAGAGATGGGAGCGAGAGAGGACGAGGTGCGGAACGAGGAAACGAGGAGAAAGAGAGAAAGAAAGAAGAATGGTGGGGTTGGTACGAGCGGCTGAAGCACGTGGGGCCTACTCCGTGTGTCTCGTTCAGTAGTGCTCTCGGTTGCCTTCGAACGATTTCGCACCGGATGTCCATCGAGCCTGTTCGACGTATCCAGCGCAGCACGCTCAGTCAGACCTGGCCACGGTCAAAACAATCGAGAATGTGATCCGTTCCGTCCTCGTCCTCACCGTATTTCACCAGATCGTGAAGCAATCGAAGATCCAGGCTGGCCCAGCGATGGCCACCGTCCCGAAAATCCTGCTGGCGTGCGCGTTCCTCGCTCTGCCGATCGCTATCACCTCGATCGAACGCCTGGCCAGCGATCATCGCGAGACCTCGCTCGCCGGCCACAGACTCATCTGGCCGGTTTGGTTCCACGAGAAATTCGCTCACGCCCGTCACGATCGCGACGGCAGGAGCTTCCAGCAGGCCACACCGAACAATTGGAGCCGCAACGACGTGTACGCCGAAAGGACCAGCTCCACGGTCGCGCCACCGCAAGCTGGCGGCCCCAGACATCGCGTGGAGCAACGCGTGCACGAGCAGAGAACCTCGAAACCGGAGAAATTCAGCGCACTCGCGGTCGCGGAGTACACCGGTACCAGAGCCATCGCTTACGCCGGTTATCGCAACAATCATCGTCACCAGCCGAGGGAAGCGGTCACACAGGGCTACCATCACACCACCACTCCGGCTACTTATGCTAGGCATCATCCCGGGTGAGTGAGCTTTTGCAAATTTTCTATTCGCCCTTTCTTAATTCCTCGAGGATCGTTATTATATTACAACGAAGCAACGATTAGTATAGGACTTTCGAAGCAAGATCAATGCGAATTCGAGTTTGACGTTGAGCATAGAGTGAAGTACGTGGAAATGATCGAACGATCTTCATCCTGTTTCTATTCAAATTTTTGTTGATTTTAATTATTCGATATGTCGTCGTATGAGACTCGTATCTTCTTTGGTACAAGATACAGCTGTCTTGAAATAACTATTCTTTCATACGCGGAAGTAGCTGATCTTTTTCACAAGCTGATGAATAGCTGCAGCAGATAGCCAAGGCAGATGCAGATATCGCCACGAGAGATCGATGATTCGAGTCCGATTATTTCGCACCGTTATCCAGTCCATCGGCGCTAATAACAAACGATTCGCTCGAGATGTCTTCTCTTTTCATTCCGACCTAACGATGTGCCAGTGATTTATAAGATGAAAAGAATCTCGCTCGCAATTCGTACCCTGATAACGCGTCATTTCTCACGCGCCTATACAATGAAGCAGCAGATTAAAAATGAGAGACGACGCGACGAATTATCCTCTATTTTTCAACATATCGGTTCCTTCTCATTAGAAATAAACCGATCTGGCTAAAATTAATCTTCCAACTCCTCGACTCAATCGCATTCATCGCGACTGACGCCATTTCTCGATTAAAAACCGATCTAGCTAACGAGTTAAACGAGAACACGAATCAACTACCGTGCCTAAACTCCAAAATTGCTTTGTCCTTCGATCAGAACTCGCTGCTAGCTCTGCATCGACGCAGTAGGTAAAGGACTTGTCCGAGCTTCCTTCAGCTTCCGTGCTGAAATCGGATTAGTTCGGAGTGTACGAATGCAGATCGAATCGGCCGTGAGCTTTACTCGTTCGGAACAACGAATACCAAACAGGTCAGGAAGCACATTTCACCGAATTGCGCAATAAAATGGCCGGCGTGCGGCATTGTGTCGGGACGAAAGTCAGATGTAAACGGCACGCTAAATTTCCCCGTAACGTCGACCGATCGAAAGAGATCAATTTTCCAGCTCCATCCACCTACTTCCTGCTACGAGAGGCCGACTTCACCCACCTCTCTGCATAAAACAGAACGCTCCACGGCGTATCGCCACCCTGGAGCACGCGAACGTAGGTGTCCGGCATCGAGTGGCGAGCCGGCGAGGAGAATCGGAGCTAAATTCGAGCGGAAAACTTTACGATCTGCCGGACAAAGCGCAACTCACGCGTTTAAATGAGTCGACGCACGCGGTTAGCTGCGCGCGTCATGGAATTACTCCGCGGAACGATAATTTATGGTGCCGGTCGGTAATCTTTCTCGGACTTTTAGCACTGTGCTGTTGGTAATACCGATTCCCGATCCGTTCTCCACTTTCATCTCGAGTTTTAATCGTTCCGCAATCGAATTAGACATTCCTCTTTCCCGCTTCTTTTATCTCCGAACGTACAATCTCGCGCGTGGCTATTTCGCTGGGAATCCAAGATGGCGGAGTGAGGTTATGTTCGCGGACGTGGTACGCGGTGTACACATTGTCGATTTACACGTGGCGAGGGGTGATGTTGAAATTTCAGGGGGAACAGAGATTAGCTTTACCAGGTTGCATCAGCTGCAAAGTCAAATACCGGGTTGCTTTATCTACAGTTTCCACCTTAAATATCTGCAACGTGATTCACCCGGCAGATTATTCTCCTTTGCTCGAAGGTTACGAGGTTTTGAAGGCTCGCGCGAGAGTGGGCGATTTTTTACCGTGCTTATCTGTTCGGTGGGAGCACCGGGATAACATTCGTTTCCTTGCTGGAAATATTGCTGCAGTTGCTGGCAAATAAATAACCCAGCGAGAGCGTACCCTACACGCGGATAAAACACTCGCAGCTGATCTGAAATATTCAATATACGGAGAGCCGAGTTATTTTCGAGGAAAAGAAAAAAGCGAAGGTCATCCCGAGCGTGGTGCTGAAAAATAAATACGTTAAGATATCACCTGTTCTCGCGAAACCTGCTCAAAATTGTATAACGTCCGACTGGAAACTGTCTTTCAAACGGGGCATGAATATTCGAGAGAAATGGAGCAAATATTTTCTCTACGTGACAGAACTTGCAGTGAGCTTTTCCTGGAAAAACAGTGTAACGAGATAAACCCTTTAATGGCCACTGAAATTTACGACTTTGCAATTCCTTCACGGGGGTTAGGTACATATGTCGAGACTCTTGTTTATCGGACTTTCAAACACTTTTGTTTTGTTAAACAAACACTGGAGGGACTTAAATAAATTGATTTAAAATAAGCAGTGTGAGAACAAGCTTATCTTATGAAGATTCAACCTCGACTACTAGAAGCCTCTGAACCTAATCGCAAATACTTGACATTACACTGCTAATACTTAGTTACTGATACTAATTATAACAATCAACGATATTTTTTTTAATGTCTCGTCATTGCTTACATTTTCCTCAGCCTATTATTTTATAATAACAATATATTTATCGATAATTACTGGAGCAAAAATTGCTTAATAAAATTAGCTAGGTTATGTGTCTAAGTAACTCTAACGGTTTCTTCCTCGTGACAATTTACAATAAGTTGATTATCAAATACACAGTAGCTCATAAAAGTATTCTCCAACCCAAAAATTGTGATTTTAAGGAAAGCTTGCGTGCACGTAAGGTAATAACGAGTTACGCATGCAGCAATTTTTTGAGAAAGCTATATTTCAAAAGAATTCTCCAACCCAAAAATTTTGATTTTAAGGAAAGCTTGCGTGCACGTAAGGTAATAACGAGTTACGCATGCAGCAATTTTTTGAAGGGGTGAAATCAACGACTAAGGATTCGACAATTATTTTGATTCTTAAATGACAGAGCAGCAAAAGCTAAGCATTAAGTTAAACATTTAAAAAATGACATGCTGTAACTTTTAGCAACGATTTCACCCGCGCGAAGTAATATCTGCAAATTAAAAAGATTGAATTATGCGTAACTCGTTATGCTTTACGTACACGTATACATCCCTTAAAATCAGAATTTTTGAGTCAAAGTACTATCTTAAAATTTGTTTAACCTCCGAATACTTTCATGAGCCACTGTATATAATATAATATGTGCAATTAAAAAGCAATCAAGTAATTGCAAATTGAGACAAAAATTGACACATATTAAACAACTAAAAATATCTCGTAACATCCCACCAATTAACAACCTGCGCACCATTGCACTTTCCTCTTCGATTACCATCCACGATCTCTACTATCCATTCCATGCCCTAGCATTTTAATAATAAACCGCTAAAAAGGTCTCGCATATGCCCACGAATCGACGCTAACGCACCACGCCCTAGAAAATCGGCTCGAAGGATGAGGTAGACAACAGGACGCACCCGACGATCGAATTTTTCCGTCCAAAAGGATCCCGTTGACCGGGCCGCTTAATTAATCGGCCGATTAATTATCTCGCGCGTAACGCGTTCCTCTGTCACGTGCAATTATTGGGATTGTTGGTGCGCGACGACGGCGGTTCCCCTTCGGCCGGCCTTAAAGGTTTCCGCATGATAATATTGCTTTCGCGCCGCTTCAAGCGAAACCGAGGGACGCCAATTAAGTCGCGCGATTGCTCGTGCATAACGACGATACACGCCCGTCGGTTCGAGACGATACTCGCCGGTGGGAAAGCGATCATCGGCGATGGCGAACGGGAAAGCTCGATCGCCGATGATAATCGATCTATGCAACGGGTCCTCTGTTTCACGGTGAAATGGCTGAAAGGTTGCCCCGAGTGTCGGTAACGCGGTCATTAACGTTGTTAACGTTGCGTCAGCGATGGTGGACTTTTTGGTAAATTAAGAGGCGGTTAATGGAGAACGCGGCGCTACAGCGGCTGATTTACTGGCCGCGATCTCGATGGTTCTCTTTGAGGTCAGCGCGAAAGTGGTTTGGCTCGGCTCACCGTACACCGGTGTAACTTTGTCGACCGAATTAGCGATAGGAGTGACATAAACGAGTCTTGTTTGCTCGCGTGGCAGAGCTGCAGCCTCGCTGTGCCGGATGTTCGACGGCGTGAAACGTTCAAGGTGCTGAGGAGAGTTGTGCGTGTCTGTCAGGTACGAACGGAGTTCACGGTATTTGCTGAATATTGATTTGAAAGGTTAAAGAGGAAACTGCGATCCTCGAAATGCAGTGTTTCGCGATGGCAAAGAGGTTCGTTTGGTCGTTTGATACGCCGGGTATTCGACGAATAGAAAACTCCGGGCGTGGATGGAAGACTAAAAGATCTCCTCGAGTCGGAGTTTATGGTATTTGCTAAATATTGACTCGGTAGCTTAAAGAGGAAGGCGCGCGATGCTTCGAGTGCAGTGGGCAGGGTTTTCTAATTAGGAAAATTATTTAGTGGGCTATTTGGAAAGCTAAATATTTGCTCGGGTAGAAAACTGAAAGCAGGATTAGAGGAATTGTTGGCAAAGGTAGTTTATAGCATTCTCGAAATATTGATTTGCAAGGTTAAAGAAGAGGACCTGGTCCGTGAAAATGTGGAACGTAAGATTTTGTACCGGTCACGTTATAATGAAGCCGGCATCCTTTTGAAGAAATGATATATTCAAATTACCAGTTAAGGGGCAGAGGATTCTTGAAAGTGTTTGATGAGAATTAACCATACTAGGGGATATGTAATCATAAACAGTTCCCTCGGAAAGAAAATAAAGGAAATTGTACGCGTTGCGGCCTATTAAATAAATGAATGGCGATATTCCGAAGAATACAGGTTTTTAAAAGGTGTACAAAGTGTAGGCCTTAAAATGCCAAACACGTTACCGTGACTAATAAAAGACTCGCTACCTTAAATTCATAAGGAAATATTATTAAAGGATTAACGCTGGGAAGCATGTTTTATAGAAGTTCAGAAACCTATTTTCTATATTCTATATACCGTGGCTGTAACTGAACGTGACTTATA